TGCTTTTAAGCAGTTTCATTAACACGAATTCTCTTAGGCCCTGGGCCTTGCTAACCTACTGTGATGGTTAATTTTATGTGTCAACCTGACTGGGCCAAAGGATGCCCAGACATTGGGTTAAACGTTTATCCTGAGTGCCTCTAGGAAGGTGTTTCTGGATGAGATTAACATTTGAAGTGGTAGCCTGAATAAAAGGGATTGCCCTCCTTAATGTGAGTACTCTCCTCTAGTCCGTTGAGACCCTGAATAGAACAAAAAGGCAAAACCTACTTTGAGTAGGAGGGAACTTGATTTGCCTAATTGCCTTGAGCTGGAACATCAGTTCTTTCCTGCTTCAGACTCTAACTGAAATAGTGCCTCTTCTGGGGTCTCCAGCCTGCCAGCCTTCAGTTCCCCCACCCCCCACCCCGGGATTCAACGTGCATGTTTTAGGACTTGTCAGCCTCCGTAACACCATAAATCAGTTCCCTGTAAGAAATCTTCTGATAGAGCTATGCGTATGATATAGGTGTGTGTGTGTGTGTGTGTTGGTGTATGTATGTCTATATGTGTATTTATATCTAAATCCTTTTGGCCTTGTTTCCCTAGAGAACCCTACTACACCTATCCTGGAGAAATTGAGAGAATGAAGGAGCCTGGTGAGGGTTCTCCCTATGGCATAGCTGATGATCAAGCTTACTATAGATTATCTTCAATATTTACTACCTTGACCACTGTCTCCAGCTGTCTTGATTAAAAGCATACTGTTACTAGACATACTTAGAAGTCTTTGCCAGCCTTTAAATATTTTCCAAGATATTCAGGTAAACAGATTCCTGAGTTGTTCTACAAAAACACAGATTGTAGACTTTTTTCTCCTTGACCTATTCAATAGTACCTTGACTTTTTTTTTTTACATTTGTAAGGAAATATTTAATCCATCCCAAAAGTATTTATTAAATACATTGTTGAAGCAAATGCATGCTTTTTGAAATTCCGTGATTTAAAAAATGTCTCCCCATGCACTCTGCTCTCTGAACACATGGGCCCACAAACACGTACCATCCATAAACGTTTAGATGAGAAAAGGAGCATCATATTTTATTTAGAATTAAAACATAATAATTATACTTTATTGAAAATAGTTTGAAACCAGCTGCTGTCAAAATTTGCACCACCTTTTTTTTTTTTTCAGGTAGCTTATTTGCTGTGAAATTTTCCATAGAAAAAAATAAAATGCTACCTATGGTTCATTTTACATAATCTTGGAATTTTAGTAACAGATGAGCCATGGTATAAATTTTTAACTGAAAAAGGGCTTAAGAAGCAACATAAATTTGAGAAAACTAGTCATTATAGATAAGCTTCCATCAGTAAAATAATCCTTATTACAGAATTAACTTTCTTTTTTAAAAAAAAAAAAAGATTTATTTCAGAGAGAGAGGGAGATAGCGCACCAGCAGGGGGAGCGGGAGAGGGAGAAGCAGACTCCCTGCCGAGCAGGGAGCCCGATGCGGGGCTCGATCCCAGGACCCTGGGATCATGACCTGAGCCGAAGGCAGACGCTTAACGACTGAGCCACCCAGGCGCCCCAGAATTAACTTTCTGATGTGCATATTTTCCTAACTGATACACAGGGCTGGATAAATGACAAACTTAAAAACTTCCTTGTTTTCTCTCCCTTATGTCTAAAGGAAAACAAATTTCTTCATTTGTTCTTGTTAACAGCCAATTTTCAAAAAAGATAAAATCATGATTCTCATACAGATATAAAAATGAACAGGTGTTAAGGATGTTATTTAGCTTGTAATCAATGAAAAAATCTGGCAGATGTTATAACTCAGTCTGACGAGAATCCAAGGCTTAGACACATTTGTAGATAAGGAATATTGAAATATATATGCAGATGGATGCAAACTGATTTTTCCACAAGATGGGGAAGAAAGAGTAGAATCAATTGAAACTTTACCCAGACAGGAAAGAATTTGTATGTCTACAGACAAGAATTATTTTGCATTGTTATGAGTTATCTATACACAGTTACAAAACAGCTTCCACAGAATCAGAATAAGATAACCCAAAGAGGTGTCCTCTAGAATGTTAGAAATTCATAGTTTTCCACTAAAGCATAAATTTTTCTTTGCATTTAAAAATGTCAACTCAGGCTGGTCCCTATAGCTGTTGATGAGCAAAAAGTATTGGCATTTAAACCTGTTTTGGTTGTTTTGGAGTAGAACAACCAAAAATTTCATAGATCTTCAAAAGAACCCTTCATCTAAAATATACTCGGTCTTAGCCAGGGGCATGTAGCAATTCAAGGACCCAGATTAGCTCTAAAAACAGACAAAACCCCCACTGCTTAATCTTGTGAGGTTAAAGCTGGCTGAGACTTTCTTTAATCTCTCTACCCCTCTATTGAACTAATGAACTAATCCAGTATTTAAGCAATAAAAATAAATTGGGCTTCATTATTTAGCACAATCATATTTACACAGGAATCTAATACTTCTACAGTCTGTTTCTTCAAATTGTAAGATATACATAACATAAAACTTACCGGGCGACCATTTTGAGCATGCAATTCACTGGCATTAAATACCCTAACATTGGTGTGTAACCATCATCCAGTCATGGCTTTTTATCCTAGACGTTTACAGGACATTTCCAAGAGGAAACTAGAGGTAGGAGGAGGAAGAAGCTCCAATGTGTCTGACATAAAGAAATGTTCTCCTTGTCAACATGTGTTTAAAAACATCATCTCTCACTAATATAGTACCATCTGTGAAATTTCATATGTCCACTAAAATTGGCCTGAAAAAAAAAAATCTGAAATTTAGAAAGATTATGACAGACCTGGTATCTGAGGCTTGTTTGCAAATGAAAGTCTTTCTGGAAGGCCACCTTCAAAAGACTCTGTACCATGTCTTTGGCCTACTAACATAAAAGATGAACCTATTGCTATACGATAATAGAAGACAGTTACGACTGCGTAACAAAGAGCATGTGTGTGGATATCACTGGCCACAATGTTTCCTCCCGAATCAGGAGAGTCACAGTCAAGGATCTGCCATCATGTCTGTGGGGTTTCCTGACTATAGTTTCTTTTAATATGAGCAAATGATTTTACTGATTCCTAAACACTTTCCCCAGCCTGATTCTCCATTGCCTGACTGGAACGCACTACTTATAAATCTAACTCTAATCAGATTCATTTCATTTGTTTAAAATAACAATACTAATAACACTAGCTCTCGCTTATAATGACAACTTATCAAACAGGTAGTACCGTATGGAATATGTGTAGGTGATGAAATTGAGCCTTTGATTTGTTAAGTAATTGACCCTTGTCATAAGGCTATTGAGTGGTTGAACTTTAACGTGTAGTTAATTCTTTCATTTCTTTACTCAGGCTTTTATAAAATATTGCAGCTAGGCACTTACTAGATGCTAGAGCACAAAAATAAAAACATAAGAATTCAGGCCTTAAGTGGCTCCGTTGTGTGTAGAGTCAAATATGTTTGATCGGGTGGATTAAATTGGATGGATCTGGACTGGAAAAATCGTGTTTGGAGGAATTCATAAGCGGTTCTTGCTCTTTACAGTGAATACTGAAATATCTTTAGGGAAGTTCTTTATTTTGTTCTTAAAAACAACCCTTTGATGATAGCCAATAGAAGGGGTATGATGAAACAATTCCCTATGTGTTGTTATTACAAGTTCTGATTATTGGTGAGCTGATTTCAAACCACATGGTTTGAATTCACATATAAATGTAAATCACGTGTGTCCTTGAATATTTAGAAAACATTTTCTATTTAAATTTGGATTTAGATTGACCTCTATGTGAAGATTGTGATTTGTTCCTGGGATATCTTTCCGTTTTTGCCCAGAAACTTCCTCAAAAGATAGATTGGCCTAAATCGCTCATATGAATGCACAAGAGGCCTCTTTTCTACTTACAACAGAGCACATATTACAATAAGGAATTGTGCCGGATTTAGAGAAGGGCTCCTTAAGAGTGAGTAGGGTTTGTCCTAAGAGTTGTGTTATTAGAAGCTGAATAACTTGGGTTTTGGATGTGTGATATCAGTCGTCGTGTGCATCTTGATCAGTTCACAATGATGAGAATGTGTTACCTGGAAGGAAGAGGATGAACCTACTGTCCATCATCCCAGGCTGGCATTGCACTCCGGTCTAATGGGCAGTTGAGTCTGTTGTAAAATTGAGAAATGCCTGCAGCTTCTCGCTGGTGAAACCGACCCTCATTCTGTTAGGTGGGGACTCTGGGCATACCTTTGTCCCATGGGTTCTAAGACTCACCGCTTAATGCAGGAGGGTGTTTATTCCAGGTGAGGCACTCAGGCTATTCCAAGCCTTCTGTAAAACTCAATTAGGGGCGCCTGGGTGGCTCAGTCGTTAAGCGTCTGCCTTCGGCTCAGGTCATGATCCCAGGGTCCTGGGATCAAGCCCCACATCGGGCTTCCTGCTCCGTGGGGAAGCCTGCTTCTCCCCTCCTTCTCCCCCTGCTTGTGTTCCCTCTCTCGCTGTGTCTCTCTCTGTCAAATAAATTTAAAAAATAAAATCTTTAAAAAAAAAAACTCAGTTAAATTTCAGAGCTCGGTTTTAGTTGTAGAATGGGGAATGAGCAACATCACTTCTTGCAGGAAGCTGGGATGGCAATATCTGCTGAGACCACCATCAGATTTTGGTTACCCCTACAGAGAAGTCTATCCAAGCCTTTCATGTGTTTCTTCCATTTTTGTATTGCATGACAATTATTTATTCATTTATACTTGTCTGTTTAAATCTTTATTATCTCTCTCCTCTGATCAGACCGTAAGCTCCTTGAAAGAAGTGACTGTTTCTGGTTTGCCTAGCACAGTGACCAGGACAGGAGAGATGCTTAAAAAAAAAAAATTCTTGAATGAGAAAAGCAGTATTATTTACATGAGAGGTGGCAGTAAGATGATAAGAAATCAGCCAAAGGAAAAGAAGAAATCTTTTTTTTTTTTTAACAATAATCCTTTGATTTTAATAGTTGGGGGGAAGGAAAAGAAGAAATCTTAATTTAAAACCAAGTTTGCTTCATTTGGAATTGAAATGAGAAAGCGCCCATAGGGATTTCAATAACCAAAACCAAACAGAAGTCAAGTCATAGTTCAGTACAAGTCTGCATCCATGTGTGAGGGAGGACATGGCCCCAATGAATAAGTTTAAAGTGGTGGTGGGAGTCCAAATAATAAAGTTGCTTTATGATAATATTGCATGAAATAGTACAATTCCCCATGCTTATGATAAAATGCGTATGTGTGAGCCTAAAAAAATTCTTATTCCTCATATACTTACTCAAGTCATGGGCCATGTTAATAATCATAACTAGTAGATAGTATGAACTAGATTTAAGATCAAAAATGTTTTTTTGTTTTGTTTTTGTCTTTTGTTTTTTAGAGACGGCAATAGAGAGGAGGGAGGGGCAGAGGAAGAGGAAGAGAGAGAATCTTAAGCAGGCTCCACACTCAGCACAGAGCCCAAGGCAGGGCTCGATCTCAAGATCCTGACACCTGACCTGAGTCAAAATCAAGAGTCAGACACTTAACCAACTGAGCCACCCAGATGTCCCCATGCTTTTTTATTTTTCAAGGGACTTCTCAAGAGGGTTTCCTACAAGTGTGAAATAATTGTTGAAATGTATTATGCTACTGTTTTAAAAAGTGGGATTATGTTGTAGCTGCTTCTATATTTTAAAACACACTGGAAATATTTTGGTGTCTTAGTCTGTTTGGACTGCTATAAAAAAAATACCAGACACTGGGTAGCTGATAAACAACTGATTTTTATTTCTCACATTGCTGGAGGTTGGAAGTCTAAGATCAGGGTACCAGCAAGATCAAGGTCTAGGGAGGGCCCTCTTCTCCGTTGTAGAAAGCTAACTTCTCCTGTATCTTCACATGGTTGAAGGGATCGGCAAACTCGCTGAGGCCTCTATTTATAAGGGCACTAATCCCATTCACGAGTCTCCACCCTCATAATCTAATCACCTCCCAAAGGTACCAACTAATACCATCACCTTGGGAGTCAGGATTTCAACATAGGAATTTTGAGGAGAACAGAAGCATTCACGCCATAGTGCTTGGTTTTGTCAGAAGTAGGAGTGTTGGAAAACTAAAAAGAATAAGAACAATTTTAAAATAGTCACAATATTTTATAACCCAGTGAAGAGCTGCCTTGATGTTTTCATCAGTAATAGAGTCAGTCAACCAAAATGCATCATCTGAGAACTTTGCGAGGATACTTCACATGCCCCAATTTATCCCCCACTCTAAAACGGCAAGTGTCAATTCTAATGTGATTGTTTAGCCATTACGTTACTGATTCAAAAATATATATTAATCCAGAATAAAGGTTTTGGCTTTGTTACTTTGGTTTCTTCCAAAATCTAGTGTTCTCAGTATTTGCACTATGGATTTATTGTCAGTATCTGAGAAGCAGCAGAGAGAAATTCATTTTAAAGTTACAGAAACATGAAATAAAGATTAGGTCTTAGCCATCTGATCTCTAAGAAGTTTCTGCAAGAAAGAGAACTGTAAGGGAATTAACATCAAGGGCATTAGCTTCCTGAGTCTTTAATTCATCTTCATTGTCAGAGGCTGCCTTGCAAACAAAAGGGAATGCGTATGTTTTTACCCCTTCAAATCCTGACCAAGCTCTTCTGGAAATAGCACTTTATTATCTTCATTTTACCTGTTTTTTTTTGTTGTTGTTGTCGTTCCTCATACCTATTTGTTATGTCCTTAGTAATCCATTTCACTATCCATGTTCTATAAGCAAAATCAAGAAATAGGATTTGGTCGATTACATAAATGGATGGTTTTGTGCAAGGTAGAAGTAGAAGTTTGCCATCCTCTCCTTACCCCACTTAATAGATTTTTCAGAAAATTCATCCCCAGAAAAGCATTTGCCATCAGGGGCTTAATCTTAAGGGTACCATCAACATTCTCAATAATTACCATATTCTAGTTCCCTTGTTTGATTGCCTTTTGTGCTCTTTGAGGAAGAACAATACAGCCTGTTTTTTCCTAGTGTTTTCCGAGAGCAATTTTATATCTTTAGAACAGGCTTCCAAATATCTTCTTGAATACAAAGAACTCTATTCTTCCATTCGATGTGAAAGAATTGTACAAATAACCACCCATACACATCACCGGATTGTGAGGAATAAATAGCACCCTAAATATTAAACACATTTACAATTACTCACATCAATCATTTAAAATCTATTGTCACACTTCAAACATTTGAATTGGAAAATCTAAGCATTATCATTACAAAATATTAATAAAATACCCACTAGGAACAGTTTCCCACCTCATAAAATTCAATTTTAAAGTCCACAAACTTCTGAAGACTGTATTTTTTTCTAATAGTTTTAATTATGGCAGACTTTGTACTTTTAAAATTGAACTTGAAAATGAGAGACTAACCAGAAACTGTTCTCATTTGTGAATTTGTAACACAATTGCAAGAAACAAATGAATTGGGCCCCAAAGAGATGTCTAGTTGGACATAATTTTATACATTTCTAAACCACCTTCCTAGGTCACCAACATATTGACAATATTATTATAGATTATGTATCTATATTGCATATCCACTATATATATTTACAGCATAATCATAATATTTTTCTATTGTTCAAATGAGCCTGCTTGGGTTTATGATTCCATTACAAAGCTTGTGTTTGAATAATAAAGCAAATATTAGACTAATATTATGTTTAATTTTTAATGATAGTCATTTATAGCTATTTAAGGTTTTGCCGAATTTTTCTTACTATTTAATCCATTACTGTTTGGAATTTTATAAAATATTTTTCTATGTGTGTGCTGAAATCCCAACAGATTTTGCTCACTAAACTTTACCTGTTATTTCTTTTGAAAGCAAAAGGGAGGTAGGATGGGAAGCACTTTTGCAAATAAGAGATGTACAGGGCGCCTGGGTGGCTCAGTTGGTTAAGCGACTGCCTTCAGCTCAGGTCATGATCCTGGAGTCCCTGGATCAAGTCCCGCATCGGGCTCCCTGCTCGGCAGGGAGTCTGCTTCTCTCTCTGACCCTCCTCCCTCTCGTGCTCTCTGTCTCTCATTCTCTCTCTCTCAAATAAATAAATAAAATCTTTAAAAAAAAAAAAGAGATGTACAAAAAAAATGTGTTTCAACAAGAAAATGCATCTTCCATATTATACTCTTCTAGGTTATCAGATTCCAATCCTGTTCATTGTCACTGAGCTATTTTGCAATTTTTTTTAATAAATTGTAGGTAGCTGATAATTGCACATTCTGTCTCTTCCAGAAGTGATTTAATTCATTTCCTCCACCCTGTGGAAAAGCTAGTTTTGTCTCTGTTTGCAATTCATCTTGACATACTTTTATTCCACATTAATTCATACTGTTTTGACTTTTCCTTTGAATCACTTGTAGCCTCTGCCTCATATCATGAGTAAAATAAGTTCTTCAACGTATGTTCACTTTTATATCTGTATCAGAGTCCTTTTACCATTTTCTGGATATTATCCTTCAACAGAATTTTCCTAAGATTATTGCCACAGCTGGATTATGCAGAAGCAGATGCTGAGGCAGAGATAGGGGTATACGGTATTTAGGAGAGATTAATACGTGAAAGAGAAAGAGATGAAGCAGAATTGGGCCAAGGAATAAGTGGGATTGCAAAGCAGGCCCGCAGCTGACTCTGCCAAGCCCCTATGTGGCCCGTTAAAGGTCCTGTATCAGCCACCCACCTCCTCCTGCCTCAGTCGCTCCATGCAGGCTGTCCGGGGAGGGTGTCAGCAGAGAACGCTCTCTGCCGCTGAGGCAGACCTTGTACCGATCCTTCTTTCTTTTCCACATACATAACACTTGACCTAGACACATGTACACATCACCAGATAACTTCTGATCTGCATTTTTGGGGTGTTCCGCAAGGCCGGGGAGCCCACACGGGAGACAGCGGCAAGCCGTCTCCACATGGCCCTGCTAGGCTAACAATAAGGCATCTGCACTTGGAAGCTGCTTTGAAGCCCCTGCACATGGCCCCATACCCAACCTCTCCCCTTAGCCGGGTCCCAGACATGCCTGCCGCTGCCCCCAAAGCACGGACACTAGGGAAGTGCTAAGTAGGGGGAGGTGGACTCAAAGAAGGTATGACTTGTCCAATTACAGTTTTAAAAATCCTGTATTTGGGGCGCCTGGGTGGCTCAGTCGGTTAAGCGACTGCCTTCGGCTCAGGTCATGATCCTGGAGTCCCGGGATCGAGTCCCGCATCGGGCTCCCTGCTGGGTGGGGGGTCTGCTTCTCCCTCTGACCCTCCCCCCTCTCATGTGCTCTCATTCTCTCTCTCTCTCAAATAAATAAATAAAATCTTTAAAAAATAAAATAGGGACGCCTGGGTGGCTCAGTCAGTTGAGCGACTGCCTTCGGCTCAGGTCATGATCCTGGAGTCCCGGGATCGAGTCCCGCATCGGGCTCCCTGCTCAGCGAGGAGTCTGCTTCTCCCTCTGACCCTCCTCCCTCTCATGTGCTCTCTCTCATTCTCTCTCTCTCAAATAAATAAATAAAATCTTTAAAAAATAAAATAGGGACGCCTGGGTGGCTCAGTCAGTTGAGCGACTGCCTTCGGCTCAGGTCGTGATCCTGGAGTCCCGGGATCGAGTCCCGCATCGGGCTCCCTGCTCGGCAGGGAGTCTGCTTCTCCCTCTGACCCTCCTCCCTCTCATGTGCTCTCATTCTCTCTCTCTCTCAAATAAATAAATAAAATCTTTAAAAAATAAAATAGGGACGCCTGGGTGGCTCAGTCAGTTGAGCGACTGCCTTCGGCTCAGGTCGTGATCCTGGAGTCCCGGGATCGAGTCCCGCATCGGGCTCCCTGCTGGGTGGGGGGTCTGCTTCTCCCTCTGACCCTCCTCCCTCTCATGTGCTCTCTCTCATTCTCTCTCTCTCAAATAAATAAATAAAATCTTTAAAAAATAAAATAGGGACGCCTGGGTGGCTCAGTCAGTTGAGCGACTGCCTTCGGCTCAGGTCGTGATCCTGGAGTCCCGGGATCGAGTCCCGCGTCGGGCTCCCTGCTCGGCAGGGAGTCTGCTTCTCCCTCTGACCCTCCTCCCTCTCATGTGCTCTCATTCTCTCTCTCTCTCAAATAAATAAATAAAATCTTAAAAAAAAAAATCCTGTATTTGCCAATTTCACAAAACCACAGAACCACACGGCCCGTGGGAGGGTCCTCCCTCTGGCTTGGAAGGGAGCTCACCCTGAAACCGAAGCATCAAGCTCTTCACAGCCAGCGGATTTCCAAGCGCATCTGTGAACTTGCCGTAGGGGATGCGGAGATAGATGGCTAATCCTGCCCGACGGGATAGGAGGAAACCCTTACTGCCGGCAGCTCTGAGGTTGCCCTCGGAGCAGAGGCAACAGGTAGTGAGGAAATACTGATCTTAAAAATCAACAGGAAACACTTATTATGGGTGCAGCTTTAAAATATCTGGTATGGATAAACATTCTAAATTTGAACGTTTATCTCAACTCTAGTTTGGTTTTTTTTTTAAGATTTTATTTATTTATTTGAGAGAGAGAGAATGAGAGAGAGAGAGAGAGAGAGCATGAGAGGGGGGAGGGTCAGAGGGAGAAGCAGGCTCCCCGCCGAGCAGGGAGCCCGATGCGGGACTCGATCCCGGGACTCCAGGATCATGACCTGAGCTGAAGGCAGCCGCTTAACCGACTGAGCCACCCAGGCGCCCCAACTCTAGTTGTTTTCTGAAAACGAACTACATTTGGCAAATAGGAATGTAAATATTCCTGGAATAGATTGTTCCTTCCCCTATGATCTTTCGCCAGAAGAACACTTGCCTTGTTTCAGAGTAAGGAGGGGGAAATATTTAGGCTAGATTTTTTTTTTTTTTAAGGTAGATACAGGCTATCAGTAAGGTTCTGTTTGTAATAATGATGCAAAAAATCAGTGAGTCTTTAATGCTTCTCGCAGGTTCTATTCCTTTACTGTTCTTGTTTCTTTACTTCCCAGCCCCCAACTATTTCCTTCCTTTTTCATAGACACCATTTGTTATGGACTGAAAGTTTGTGTCCTCCCCCAAATTCCTATGTTGAAATCTAATCCCCAGTGGGATGGTATTTGGAGGCGGGCCTTTGGGAGGTAATTAGGTCATGAAATGGAGCCTTTAGGAATGGGGTGAGTGCCCTGGAGGTAGCTCTCAGTCTTCCCACCATGTAAGGACACAGCAAGAAGCCAGCAGTCCACATCCAGGAAGACAGTTCCCACCAAAACCTAACCATGCTGGTGCCTCAACCTTGGACTTGTAGCCTCCAGAACTGGGAGCGATATATTTCTGTTACTTAGAAGACACCCAGTCTATAGAGTGCTTTGCTCTAGCAGCCTGAACTAAGACACCATTGGTTAAGAATTCCAGGTGAGGGCGCCTGGGTGGCTCAGTTGGTTGAGCAACTGCCTTCAGCTCAGGTCATGATCCTGGAGTCTTGGGATCGAGTCCCACATCGGACTCCCCTCTCGGCAGGGAGTCTGCTTCTCCCTCTGATCCTCCCCCTCTCATGTTCTCTCTGCTCAGTCTTTCTCTCTCAAATAAGTAAATAAAATCTTAAAAAAAAAAAAAAAAGAATTCCAGTTGACCTCCTTTCCAGTCCTTTGCGAATATGCCCTCTGGAAAACCTTCTTCAGTAAAGAAACTTCTTTACATCCTTTATATCTTCCTGTCATAGCTTTGCCTTAACTGATATCTGATTCCTTTTCCTATTGAGGG